CAGTACACAAGGGTTCCAGTTTTTCCACATGCGTGCCAGCACGTATCTTCTGTTGTTGTTTGTGGTGGGTTTTGTTTTGTTTGGGTTTTGGTTTTTGATAGTAGCCATCCTAATGAGAGTGAGGTGGTATCTCATTATGGTTTTGATTTGCTTTTCCCTAATGCTTAATGTCATTTTATTTTATACTAAGTCTTATTTTATACTAAGAAATCCAGTGTGTATTTTACACTTACAGCCATCTCAGTTTGGACTGGCCACATTTCTTAAGGCCACAGTGCTTAATAGCTAGCTACTATATTAGAAAAGTGATTCTAGAGGGGAAAGTTGGGGGCAGTGGGAAGAAACATCTGGGATTCGGGCATGTTCCTAGTATAAGGAGAAATGTTACGGTCACCCAAGCTGCCTGAGCAGGGGCTGGGCATCCAGGAGGCTCCGCATCCCTGGTGCTTGGCAGGGATAAATACAAGGAGGGGGTTGGCCTCGATGGCCTTTGGAAGAGTCTGTAGTCCGGGTTGCTCCTCTTGAATGACCGTATGAGTGGAGGCCGTCTGTGCCTCAGACCCCCAGTGGCATCGGCTTTTGTAAAAGCTGTTTTGAACTCTCCATCCCAGCATGCCCATTGATCTTTTTGTCATCACACACCGGATAAGAGCCCGGCTGTAGCCAAAGGGTGGGAAGTTGGACTTGGGGGAGCTGCCAGCTTCCTTCCCAGCACTCTGCCTCGACCCTTCGCTGCCCCCCAGCGTCCCCCTGGAGCCTGTCTAATCAGATCCAGGCCTGACCTCTCCAGAGGTCCTGGACCAGGAGGAAAGCCTCCCCTCCCCTCTCTGAGCTGCTCTCGATCTGGCTCTCAGGAGACCCCTCCCCTTGGGGTGATTTATAGAGGTGTCCAGGAGTCGTTTCCTGCCTGTTTCTGCTCTCGTCCAGCTCGGTGGATTGCTGGGCTCACTCTCTGCCCTTGCTTTCCCAGTGGCCTGGCTGTACCCAAGGTCAGGGTAGAGAGGGGCTAGGAGATTCCTTCCCAGACTGCATGGGGACAAAGGTGTTTCTTCTTCCTTTCTCCACACCTGCTCCTGGGCAGGCCTTTGCTTACCCCTTCGCTCTCTCTGGCCCTCACACTGGAAGGGCCTCCCAGCCACTGCGCACTACTTCCTCTCATCACCCAGCTTGAGTGAGGGACCGAAGACTGTGCCTCCCTGACTGAGATGTCAGCAGGAGGAGAACACATCAACAGCCACAAGCCACAGTACCACCTTCATGTCCACCAGCCACAAACACAATACCACCAACGCCGCCACAGATAGTGTCTGTAACCTGTGTGTACCGCACAGTGGCCGCCAGGGTGACTTGTCCAGGGCTCAGGGTGCTCAGAGGCCTGACCCTTAGCCTCACATACCCATGCTCGCCCAAGGACCCTCTCCCCTGAGAGGCACGAGGCACAGCTTCCCCTGGTTCTGTCCTGCTGCTACAAGCCGGGGGTGGGGTTGGGGGTGGGGTGGGATTTGTAGACCAAACATATCCCTCTCCGAGAGACTGGAGAAAGCCTAAATGGCCCCAAGAAACTCTCTTCCCTTACTTCCTAAAGATAAAAATGCTGTTACCTCTGAATTAGGAGTGAGTAGAAGATTCCAGGAGTATAGACCAAGGACTGCTTGTTTGTTTGTTTGTTTATTTATTTATGTTAAGATATTTTTTATATTGATTTTTAGAGAGACAGGAAGGAAGAGGGAGAGAGAAAGAGAAATATCGATCAGCTGCCTCCTACATGCCCCCTACCAGGGATCTAGTCTGAAACCCTGACATGTGCCCTGACTGGGAATTGAACCAGCAACCTTTCAGTGCACAGGGTGATGCCCAACCAATTGAGCCACGCCGATCAGGGCTACCGAGGCCTGTTTATGACGGCGGCAGGAGTCAGAGCTGGAAGGGCCCTACAGGGTGCCTGTTCACCTCTTCATCTGCAGAGGAGAGGACTGGCACTCTGACATGGCCTGCCCGTGCGCTTACTGCAATCCCCTGGACATCCAAGGGATATGCAGGACTGATCAAGGGATTGGGGAGGGGATGAGGAAGGGGATATAGAGGCCCACACCTGCCATTGCACCCACATCTGTGTAGCCAGCTGGGCTCTAAGGGAAGGGACCGAGGGACCATCTCTGGGGCTCTTAATCCTCCCTGCACCTTGCAACACGGTGCCAACTCCCAACCAGTGAGAGCAGGCTGGTCCAACCTGCAGTCCATTCTAGAGTTACCTGCTCTTGGAGAGTGAAAAACTAGCTGGAGAACTAAAGGCCCAAGGCCTGGCACTGCTGATTCTGATTCTGGTCTGGTAGAGGCACCAACTGGGTCTGGGCCTCAGTTCCCCTTCGTAAAATGAAGGGGTTGACTTTACTGCTGTTAATCCTCACCTGAAGATACGTTTCCATGGATTTTTTAGAGAGAGTGGAAGGGAGAGGAGAACAGAGAGAAACATCGATGTGAGAGAGAGACATCAATGGGTTGCCTCCCACACATGCCCCGACCAGGGCCAGGTTGACCCTGCAACCAAGGTATGTGCCCTCTGACCGGAATTGAACCCAGGACCCTCCAGTCCACAGGCCGATGCTCTATCCACTGAGCCGAAGCATTTTTCGAGGAAAGCTACCCTTCAAATGAAATGTTTGGCAGAACTGCAATTGAGTAAAGTGGATAGAGAGGCACAGCAAGGTGCTGCTGTCTGGTGGAAGGAAAGGGTGGGGCTCTGAGTGGGGAGGGGGCGCAGCTGCGCCCAAGGGGACCCTTGGGAGTCCTGCTGTACCTGCGTGAAGAGGAGCACTGGCTCCGTGCCTACCAACTGCCCTGTGTCCTCTCCAGCATCACCTTCAGCCCATGCTACTGTCATTGTTTAGTTTTGGGGGAGAAGGAGGGGCTAGAAGGTAGAGGCTAGACTTTCTCCATCCCCAGCGCCCTGATAAAGAAGCAGCCCTACCCTTTGTATCTCTCCTCAGGCCAGTTCCTAGCTCTAGGCACCTCCAGGGAGCCCAGAATCAGGGCTAGAAACACAAAAGGATTCAGTTCCTTAATGAGGAGGCATCTGTAGTCAGCAGAGCCATTAGTCTCCGCCCCTGGACCCTGGGGGTCTGTGAGCTCCTCTCCAGCTGGAGTGAGGAGGGGGCAGGCAGCTCCCCAGCTCCCGAATGAGCAGGGCTCAGGGGCAGAGGCCCCAGACCCAGGCACCTGGGGGCCCTCTCCACTCCCCAGGCCTGTTTCTAGCCATGCCTTCCTGGATGGAGGTTGAAAGGCAGAGAAGCCTGGAGGCAGCAGAGGGGCCCCAGCAGTGCCTTGCCCCCTTCTCTCCCCTCTCCCCTCTCCTCCCGCCCCCGCCAGCCCCTGGGCTGACCTGCAGGCCCTTGGCCAAGCACAGCCTTTGGCCTGAGACAGGGCAGGCTGACCTCTGGGTGCTCCCTAGGGAATTCTCTCGAAAGCCTGATGGGGACACCAGCTGGGGCACTTGCCCCCACCTCCTGCTCTGAGGGCCCCAAGGTGCTGTTTGTATGGGCTTTACCTTCAAGGGGACACATGTGATTGATTACCAGAATCACACACTGGCCACAGGAGCCAAGGGCTACAAACCGCCATTCACATCCAGCTGTGGACACTCGGTCCACATACACGGCGGGGGTAGCCACACCCTCCTGGCAAACATAGATCTGCACACATGTGTGGGGAGGAGGCACTCACACCCATCAGCCGTGTTCTCTGGAGGCCCTGGAAAAGGAGGAGGCAGGGCAGGGGATTTTTATGCATGTTTATATTTAATGAACCACATGCAAATGAGATGGAGAACACGCCACAAAAGAATCAGCAGCCCCCAGAGGCTCTGGGAAGAAGGGCACAAAGGCTACGCCTTTCTGGGCTGCCTTGGAGTCCAGAACAGGCCTGTGGTGGAGGGGGCCGGAGACAGGGTGTGCCCACCCACACCCGGGAGCCAGGACCAGCTCCAGCACCCCTGCTGCTGTGGGGGGAGGGGTCCTTCTGGGAGGGGACGACTGTCCCAGTTGATGGAGTGCTGGAGGGGAGGTGCTGCCTGCCTGGACAGATGGTGAGCTGCCTTCCCGCACTTGAAGCAAAGTGGATTTTAATGAAATCACAGCCCTGGTGCTGAAGCTGGGAACCCGAGAGGGAGGGGCCCCTTTTCTGGGCTTTATAGGGTGAAGTTTGGGGCTGGATGGGAATGAGGGTGGGTGGGAACACTTAACCAGCTGAAAGTGGGGTGGGGGTATGCCACAGCCCCCACTGTACCAGCCACTGCAGACCAGGGTTCAAGCAGTTAGTTCAGATTCTCAAAAGGTGGGGAAGGAGTCCCTGAATATGTATGACGCATTGAAATGTAGATTGGTAGGTCTGACAGTCTTCTGAGAGGCTTGTCACCTTGGATGGATATACCACCCCCTTGGGGTACATCTAGAAGCTACAGAAGAACAGGGACGGGGTGATAAGGAAGGGCAAAGAATGCTGCTGGTGTCTGTAACCAGGGTTTAATGACAGGTGGCCCTGCTGGGCAGCACTGAACTGCCTGCTTCCCGTCTCTGGGCCTCAGTTTCCTGTTCTGTAAAACATGCAGCACATTTAGACCTTGCTAAGGGGGGAGGGAGGGTATAAAACTGAATCAGAAAGCAAGGGAAACGTAGGCAGCAGGACGGGAGCAGGGCTCTGAGGGTCAGCAGCCCAAGACTTCCTGGTGAGAGGTTTGTCATCCAAGAATTTGTCCAGACCTTTCTCGAAGTGGGCCAGCCCGGCCTGTACGGCCCCTTGGGAAGGTGTTTCCCACGGTGGGAGGCAGGTAAGTGCGGCTGTGTCCCCGAGCTGCGGATGCCCTGTGTCTGCCAGTTCCAGGAGCACCCCTGCCTCAGGGTGGGGTGAGCTCAGGGTTCCAGGACACGGGCCTGTGACCGCTCCCCTCCTTCCCTCTGCTCCCCAGCAGCGTGCCTCTCCCACACACGCCCCCTTTCTCTCACCAGCCATGTCGGACTTCCACGTGCACCCCCAGGCCGTCGCAGGCGAGGAGGGCGGCGTGGCCCGCTTCCAGTGCCAAATCCACGGGCTTCCCAAACCCCTGATCATGTGGGAGAAGAACAGAGTCCCCATCGATACGGACAACGAGAGGTGAGCCACACGTGGGGGATGCTGGAGGGAGGACAGACAGGTGGGCCCGGCCTGCCCACCTGCTCCAGGGGTGGGTTTCAGCAACTGCGTTGAGACTGAGTATCCCCGTGGCTTGCGGGCCCAGACTGGGTGCTCGCAGGTGTATCCATGAGACGGACTGTGTGCGATGGCGGTCAGGACTGGAATTGCAGGTGCATCGGCCTGTGTGAGTCTGTGAGGATGACGGTGACCTTGGGGCAGCTCCTGGGCGCCGGGCTGCGTCTGTGATGCTCAGGGTCCCTGTGGCCGGCGGGGCCAGGGGCTGTGCTGGCGGTCAGCTGTGTCCCCCTCCCCAACAGGTACACATTGCTGCCCAAGGGCGTCCTGCAGATTACAGGACTTCGGGCTGAGGACAGCGGTGTCTTCCATTGCGTGGCCTCGAACATTGCCAGCGTCCGGGTCAGCCACGGGGCCAGGCTCACTGTGTCGGGTGAGGGTCCTTTGCCCTGTCTGGTTCTTCTCTCAACCAGCCGCCTCGCTTCTCCTCACTCTCAAATCAGTCCCCCTTCAGCTGCCCCCCGAGACTTGTCAGACAAGCGCCTACAGGGTACCTTCCAAGCCCCACGTTCTGTGCGCCTCGCGGTGAGAGCTCGGAAGGACTCGAAGGCCCGCTCCCTGGCGCAGCTCTACCTGGGGAAGCCCAGCTCTGCCTGTCCGGGGAGCTCTCCCCTTGCTAGAGGCCTGCAGGGCCAGGAGCAGAGAGATGGGTGTGAGCAACATCCTGGGGCCCCTGGCATCGCCTCTCTGCCCGCAGGACTGACCTCCGGGCTGGAATTTTCCTATCCCCATGTCCTGGGCGGCGGGTGGGGTGAGGAGGCAGGAAGGGGCCCGGCTAAAGTGAAGAGACGTGGCCTCTTCCTCCCAGGCGCCGGCTCCGGGGTCTACAAGGAGCCGACGATCCTCGTGGGGCCTGAGAACCTCACCCTGACCGTGCACCAGACTGCGGTGCTGGAGTGTGTCGCCACGGGCAACCCGCGCCCCATTGTGTCCTGGAGCCGCCTGGGTGAGCCTCCTCCAAAGCCCCTGCCTCTCCCACCCCGGTCCCACCCCCTGGGAGGGCCAGTCTCATCACCCAGCTCCTGGGGGACTTTGAATCCTGTTTGTTCTCCGTGGGGGTCCGGTCTCTGCGAGGCCCGGGACGGGGTGAGTTCCCTCTTCTTGGCAGTACCAGGGAGGTCCGCCTGCCCGCCGCATTCTCCCTCCCCCTGCACGGATGGCTTAGCTCCCTGGGTTACCTCGTCCCATCCCACGCCAGTCCCTCCTCCTGCTCCCATCACCCTCAGCACCGGGCCCTCCAGAGCCCTCCACAGCTCTCAGCACCCTGGTCTCTTTCCCCTCCTGCTCACCTCTGCCCTCTGCACCCTGGCCTTACACCCCAGCTAGGCACTCCCACACCCCTCACAATCTCAGCCAGTTGTCACACCCTCACTCTGGGCCCCCCCAGGCTCCAGCCTGGCCCCCTAAGTCCCCAGCCTAAATCCCTAGGCAGCTGAAGGAGAGAAATGAAAGGGTGCAGATGGGCCCACATTGTCTGAGCAGAAAGGTCACGGGGGAAGGAGAGGCTGGAGGGCCAGGGTGGGGTGGGCATTCACCAGGGGACTGCGCCACATTGTAGCAGCTGAGTGATCGGGGAAGGAGGGGGCAGCAGGCGGGATAATGGAGTAGATTTCACCACTTCAGGGTCTGAATGGAGAGCTGTCTCCTTGCATTCTGACTGTGCTAATCTGATCCTGGGTGGGGGGAGGGCTTGGTCCCTGGGAGAGACTAGAAAGAGTGGCCTCACCATTAGGAGGAGCCCGTAGGCAGCGCAATGACCATCTGGTCCAACATTTCCCAAGGCATGATCTGCAGAGGGAAAGAATAGCTTGGTGGTCTGACAAGTTTAGGAGACAGAGTTAACCAGGTCCTTCTGCTGCAGGACTTCTCAGAGCCTTTGTGTGAGTGGGCATTGTGACAGTCCAGGAATAGAATGGATATTTGACCTGGGAACTTTTTTCAAGAGAGACAAACCAGGCCCGGCCGGTGTGGTTCGGTGGTTGAGCATCGACCCATGAACCAGGAGGTCATGGTTCGATTGCTGGTCAGGGCACATGCCCAGATTGCGGGCTCCATCCCCAGTGTGGGGCGTGCAGGAGGCAGCCGATTTATGATTCTCATCATTGATGTTTTTATCTCTCCCTCTCCCTTCCTCTCTGAAATCAATAAAAATAGATAGATGGAGAGAGAGAGAGAGAGAGAGAGAGAGAGAGAGAGAGAGAGAGAGAGAAACCAGGCAGGGAAAGGTCCCATTCATTTAAACCCTTGATTTCCTACTTGAAAAGCTGAGAGGAAGGGACTTGCAGGTCACCATTGAGTGAGTGAGAATGCGCAACAGGACCCGGGTCTCTGCTGCTAGACGTGAGTTTTCTGTGTTGCTCCCTCCGCCTCCACGGTGCCGCCTGTGATGCTCAGGAGGGAAGGTGCCGAGTCAGAGACTGGGGCCCCTGGAGGGCTGGTGAATCTGCACAGTCCGGAATGTCCCCTCGTCCACACCCATCTCCCCGACCCTCCCTCACCTCCAATCCCCTTCCTCCCCAGATGGCCGACCCATTGGGGTGGAGGGCATCCAGGTTCTGGGCACAGGGAACCTCATCATCTCAGATGTGACCGTGCAGCACTCAGGCGTCTACGTCTGTGCGGCCAACAGGCCTGGCACCCGGGTGAGAAGAACAGCACAGGGCCGGCTGGTGGTGCAAGGTACCTCCCTCCCTCCCCACCCCTGCCCTCCTCCTGCCCTTTCCTTGCCTCATCAACGTCCCTGGCCCAAGCCCAGGACCCTAGACACCCAGGGTCTGCCACTCCCCTGTACTTGCTCTAACCCTCTCCCTGCCCCTCCCCAGACCCCCAGGCCAGGCCAGCAGGGCAGCGTCTCGTGTGTTGGGAATGGGAGGACATTCTTAGTCATGGGCCCCTGTGTGCCCCTTCCAGGTGCCAGCAAGCTCCCCCAGTCATTTCTATTTTATAATCTCAG